TTTTGAGGTTGCCCCAAAAGTAGGGAGTTAGGAGGAGTGAACTGTTATGGAGCGTACTTTTGAGGTTGCCCCAAAAGTAGGGAGTTAGGAGGAGTGAACTGTTATGGAGCGTACTTTTGAGGTTGCCCCAAAAGTAGGGAGTTAGGAGGAGTGAACTGTTATGGAGCGTACTTTTGAGGTTGCCCCAAAAGTAGGGAGTTAGGAGGAGTGAACTGTTATGGAGCGTACTTTTGAGGTTGCCCCAAAAGTAGGGAGTTAGGAGGAGTGAACTGTTATGGAGCGTACTATTGAGGATGCCCCAAAAGTAGGGAGTTAGGAGGAGTGAACTGTTATGGAGCGTACTATTGAGGATGCCCCAAAAGTAGGGAGTTAGGAGGAGTGAACTGTTATGGAGCGTACTTTTGAGGTTGCCCCAAAAGTAGGGAGTTAGGAGGAGTGAACTGTTATGGAGCGTACTTTTGAGGTTGCCCCAAAAGTAGGGAGTTAGGAGGAGTGAACTGTTATGGAGCGTACTTTTGAGGTTGCCCCAAAAGTAGGGAGTTAGGAGGAGTGAACTGTTATGGAGCGTACTTTTGAGGTTGCCCCAAAAGTAGGGAGTTAGGAGGAGTGAACTGTTATGGAGCGTACTATTGAGGATGCCCCAAAAGTAGGGAGTTAGGAGGAGTGAACTGTTATGGAGCGTACTTTTGAGGATGCCCCAAAAGTAGGGAGTTAGGAGGAGTGAACTGTTATGGAGCGTACTTTTGAGGTTGCCCCAAAAGTAGGGAGTTAGGAGGAGTGAACTGTTATGGAGCGTACTTTTGAGGTTGCCCCAAAAGTAGGGAGTTAGGAGGAGTGAACTGTTATGGAGCGTACTTTTGAGGTTGCCCCAAAAGTAGGGAGTTAGGAGGAGTGAACTGTTATGGAGCGTACTATTGAGGATGCCCCAAAAGTAGGGAGTTAGGAGGAGTGAACTGTTATGGAGCGTACTTTTGAGGTTGCCCCAAAAGTAGGGAGTTAGGAGGAGTGAACTGTTATGGAGCGTACTTTTGAGGTTGCCCCAAAAGTAGGGAGTTAGGAGGAGTGAACTGTTATGGAGCGTACTTTTGAGGTTGCCCCAAAAGTAGGGAGTTAGGAGGAGTGAACTGTTATGGAGCGTACTTTTGAGGTTGCCCCAAAAGTAGGGAGTTAGGAGGAGTGAACTGTTATGGAGCGTACTTTTGAGGTTGCCCCAAAAGTAGGGAGTTAGGAGGAGTGAACTGTTATGGAGCGTACTTTTGAGGTTGCCCCAAAAGTAGGGAGTTAGGAGGAGTGAACTGTTATGGAGCGTACTATTGAGGATGCCCCAAAAGTAGGGAGTTAGGAGGAGTGAACTGTTATGGAGCATACTTTTGAGGATGCCCCAAAAGTAGGGAGTTAGGAGGAGTGAACTGTTATGGAGCGTACTTTTGAGGTTGCCCCAAAAGTAGGGAGTTAGGAGGAGTGAACTGTTATGGAGCGTACTTTTGAGGTTGCCCCAAAAGTAGGGAGTTAGGAGGAGTGAACTGTTATGGAGCGTACTTTTGAGGTTGCCCCAAAAGTAGGGAGTTAGGAGGAGTGAACTGTTATGGAGCGTACTTTTGAGGTTGCCCCAAAAGTAGGGAGTTAGGAGGAGTGAACTGTTATGGAGCGTACTTTTGAGGTTGCCCCAAAAGTAGGGAGTTAGGAGGAGTGAACTGTTATGGAGCGTACTTTTGAGGTTGCCCCAAAAGTAGGGAGTTAGGAGGAGTGAACTGTTATGGAGCGTACTTTTGAGGTTGCCCCAAAAGTAGGGAGTTAGGAGGAGTGAACTGTTATGGAGCGTACTTTTGAGGTTGCCCCAAAAGTAGGGAGTTAGGAGGAGTGAACTGTTATGGAGCGTACTTTTGAGGTTGCCCCAAAAGTAGGGAGTTAGGAGGAGTGAACTGTTATGGAGCGTACTTTTGAGGTTGCCCCAAAAGTAGGGAGTTAGGAGGAGTGAACTGTTATGGAGCGTACTATTGAGGATGCCCCAAAAGTAGGGAGTTAGGAGGAGTGAACTGTTATGGAGCATACTTTTGAGGATGCCCCAAAAGTAGGGAGTTAGGAGGAGTGAACTGTTATGGAGCGTACTTTTGAGGTTGCCCCAAAAGTAGGGAGTTAGGAGGAGTGAACTGTTATGGAGCGTACTTTTGAGGTTGCCCCAAAAGTAGGGAGTTAGGAGGAGTGAACTGTTATGGAGCGTACTTTTGAGGTTGCCCCAAAAGTAGGGAGTTAGGAGGAGTGAACTGTTATGGAGCGTACTTTTGAGGTTGCCCCAAAAGTAGGGAGTTAGGAGGAGTGAACTGTTATGGAGCGTACTTTTGAGGTTGCCCCAAAAGTAGGGAGTTAGGAGGAGTGAACTGTTATGGAGCGTACTTTTGAGGTTGCCCCAAAAGTAGGGAGTTAGGAGGAGTGAACTGTTATGGAGCGTACTTTTGAGGTTGCCCCAAAAGTAGGGAGTTAGGAGGAGTGAACTGTTATGGAGCGTACTTTTGAGGTTGCCCCAAAAGTAGGGAGTTAGGAGGAGTGAACTGTTATGGAGCGTACTATTGAGGATGCCCCAAAAGTAGGGAGTTAGGAGGAGTGAACTGTTATGGAGCGTACTATTGAGGATGCCCAAAAGTAGGGAGTTAGGAGGAGTGAACTGTTATGGAGCGTACTATTGAGGATGCCCCAAAAGTAGGGAGTTAGGAGGAGTGAACTGTTATGGAGCGTACTTTTGAGGATGCCCCAAAAGTAGGGAGTTAGGAGGAGTGAACTGTTATGGAGCGTACTTTTGAGCTTGCCCCAAAAGTAGGGAGTTAGGAGGAGTGAACTGTTATGGAGCGTACTTTTGAGGTTGCCCCAAAAGTAGGGAGTTAGGAGGAGTGAACTGTTATGGAGCGTACTTTTGAGGTTGCCCCAAAAGTAGGGAGTTAGGAGGAGTGAACTGTTATGGAGCGTACTTTTGAGGTTGCCCCAAAAGTAGGGAGTTAGGAAAAGTGAACTGTTATGGAGCGTACTTTTGAGGTTGCCCCAAAAGTAGGGAGTTAGGAGGAGTGAACTGTTATGGAGCGTACTTTTGAGGTTGCCCCAAAAGTAGGGAGTTAGGAGGAGTGAACTGTTATGGAGCGTACTATTGAGGATGCCCCAAAAGTAGGGAGTTAGGAGGAGTGAACTGTTATGGAGCGTACTTTTGAGGATGCCCCAAAAGTAGGGAGTTAGGAGGAGTGAACTGTTATGGAGCGTACTATTGAGGATGCCCCAAAAGTAGGGAGTTAGGAGGAGTGAACTGTTATGGAGCGTACTATTGAGGATGCCCCAAAAGTAGGGAGTTAGGAGGAGTGAACTGTTATGGAGCGTACTATTGAGGATGCCCCAAAAGTAGGGAGTTAGGAGGAGTGAACTGTTATGGAGCGTACTTTTGAGGATGCCCCAAAAGTAGGGAGTTAGGAGGAGTGAACTGTTATGGAGCGTACTATTGAGGATGCCCCAAAAGTAGGGAGTTAGGAGGAGTGAACTGTTATGGAGCGTACTATTGAGGTTGCCCCAAAAGTAGGGAGTTAGGAGGAGTGAACTGTTATGGAGCGTACTTTTGAGGTTGCCCCAAAAGTAGGGAGTTAGGAAAAGTGAACTGTTATGGAGCGTACTTTTGAGGTTGCCCCAAAAGTAGGGAGTTAGGAGGAGTGAACTGTTATGGAGCGTACTTTTGAGGTTGCCCCAAAAGTAGGGAGTTAGGAGGAGTGAACTGTTATGGAGCGTACTATTGAGGATGCCCCAAAAGTAGGGAGTTAGGAGGAGTGAACTGTTATGGAGCGTACTTTTGAGGATGCCCCAAAAGTAGGGAGTTAGGAGGAGTGAACTGTTATGGAGCGTACTATTGAGGATGCCCCAAAAGTAGGGAGTTAGGAGGAGTGAACTGTTATGGAGCGTACTATTGAGGATGCCCCAAAAGTAGGGAGTTAGGAGGAGTGAACTGTTATGGAGCGTACTATTGAGGATGCCCCAAAAGTAGGGAGTTAGGAGGAGTGAACTGTTATGGAGCGTACTTTTGAGGATGCCCCAAAAGTAGGGAGTTAGGAGGAGTGAACTGTTATGGAGCGTACTTTTGAGGTTGCCCCAAAAGTAGGGAGTTAGGAGGAGTGAACTGTTATGGAGCGTACTTTTGAGGTTGCCCCAAAAGTAGGGAGTTAGGAGGAGTGAACTGTTATGGAGCGTACTTTTGAGGTTGCCCCAAAAGTAGGGAGTTAGGAGGAGTGAACTGTTATGGAGCGTACTTTTGAGGTTGCCCCAAAAGTAGGGAGTTAGGAGGAGTGAACTGTTATGGAGCGTACTTTTGAGGTTGCCCCAAAAGTAGGGAGTTAGGAGGAGTGAACTGTTATGGAGCGTACTTTTGAGGTTGCCCCAAAAGTAGGGAGTTAGGAGGAGTGAACTGTTATGGAGCGTACTTTTGAGGTTGCCCCAAAAGTAGGGAGTTAGGAGGAGTGAACTGTTATGGAGCGTACTTTTGAGGTTGCCCCAAAAGTAGGGAGTTAGGAGGAGTGAACTGTTATGGAGCGTACTTTTGAGGTTGCCCCAAAAGTAGGGAGTTAGGAGGAGTGAACTGTTATGGAGCGTACTTTTGAGGTTGCCCCAAAAGTAGGGAGTTAGGAGGAGTGAACTGTTATGGAGCGTACTTTTGAGGTTGCCCCAAAAGTAGGGAGTTAGGAGGAGTGAACTGTTATGGAGCGTACTTTTGAGGTTGCCCCAAAAGTAGGGAGTTAGGAGGAGTGAACTGTTATGGAGCGTACTTTTGAGGTTGCCCCAAAAGTAGGGAGTTAGGAGGAGTGAACTGTTATGGAGCGTACGACAGTGCTGATGGCAGCTGCGATGGGCGGCGGGGCTATGGTCCATCCCACCCGCCAACCTGGAAGAGGAGGAGAGAAGAGAGGAGGGAATGCAGAGAGGAGGATAGACTGGAAAGTGAGGAGGCACGCATTGTTCGGCAGCGATGGGCGGCGGGGCTATAGCCCATCCCACTCGCCAACCTGCAAGGAACGAGAGGGGATGAGAGGGGATGAGAGGAGGGAATGAAAGGCGAAGTGAAGAGGGACACGATGGGCACAAGGATCGATGGTGCTGATGGCTGCTGTGATGGGCGGCGGGGCTATGGCCCATCCCACTCGCCAACCTGCAGGTGAAAAAGAGGGTATGAGAGGGGAAAAGAGGGAGAGAAGAGGGAAAAAGAGGGGAAATGAGGGAGAAAAGAGGGAACGAGAGGGGTGCAGGGAAGGGCAGATTGTCATGCAGCCATGGGCGGTGGTGTTATGCCCCACCCACCCACCCCATTCCACCCACCCACCATCCCACCCCATCCCACCCACCCACCATCCCACCCACCCACACACCCACCACCCCAACCACCTACCCACCCACACACCAACTTACCCACCCACCCACCAACCTACCGGTGACGTGGAACGTTTTAGAGATGGACGAGGTGACGATGCAGCGCTCCTTCATGCCCGGCCACTGAGCGAGCGACACGTGGCGCGGTGTGCTGCCGCTGCCATAGGTGAAAGCGCTGTACACGTCATCCGTGATTGCCAGCAGGTCGTGATGGCAGCAGAACTTTGCTAGCTGGGTCAGCTCAGAGTGGGTAAAGACATGGCCAGTGGGGTTGCATGGACTGGAGTGGGGGTAGGGTGGGGTTTGGGGTTTGGGGTTTGGGGTTTGGGGTTTGGGGCAGGTTGATGAGGGAGAGAGGCGAGAGGGACGGGGGAGATGAGAAAGAGGAGAGGGCTGGTGCAACAGGTGCGTGAATGGGCTCTACCACACCACACCTCGTCTGTTATTGCCAGGAGGTGGTGATGGATGCTAGCTGAGAGAGCTCCTCGTGTGGGAACACACGGCCGGTGGGGTTGCATGGACTGGGATGGGGGCGGTTGTTGTGGGAGTGGCGGGAAGTGAAAGGGAGGGAGAGAGATGGCAAAAATCCCTGCATCCTCGAGAGCTGGAGGTGTAGCATAGTCAGGGAACCCTGAAGCAGATGGTGCGATGCCTTTTGCCATGCCATACCAAGCCAATCCATGCCATGCATTGACCACTCACTCACTCATACTGGTTCACGTCGGCAGCAACGGCGGCCATCCCTGCTTCCTTGAGAACTGGAGGAGCAGCATAGTCAGGAAACACTGAAGCAGATGGTGCGATGTCTTTTGCCATGCCATGCCATGCCATGCCATGCCATGCCATGCCATGCCATGCGATGCATTGATCACTCACTCGTATTGGTTCACGTCAGCAGCAATGGCAGCCATCCCTGCTTCCTTGAGAGCTGAAGGTGCAGCATAGTCGGGGAAACCTGAATAGATGGTGCCACCATAGCCATGCCATGCCATGCCATACCATTTCATGCCATGCCATGCCATACCATTTCATGCCATGCCATGCCATACCATTCCATGCCATGCCATGCCATACCATTTCATACCATGCCGTTCCATACCATGCCGTTCCATACCATGCCGTGCCACGCCATGCCATGCCATGCACATTGAGGTCACACATCCCATGATGTCATCAACATTCCTGTTTCTTAGGCCATCATCAACTAGTCATACTACAGACCGTCGTATGCAACTAATGGATCTTAAAACGTCTTAGAGAGTCTACTAGGTTCAAGCCGTTTCATAACCCGGTTACTTATCAAGGCACACCACTAACAATCCGAGGGCATATGCAACCTTGAGCATCTCTCTTTAAGATTAATGGCTCCTTACGTCTTTGATAGCGGCGTCACCTCTGAACAAAAAACAATTGAAAATGTTCTTCTTTTTCAGAATACCTAGCCTTGGGATTACCTTCCCCCAGGTTGATGGCTCCTCTCTTCTTCGCCAGCCGAGTTACCTCCACGATCACCGAAGGCCCGAATGTACGGCTGCGATTAGACAACCACCGATCCGCACTGGCTTCTGATTGGCCGGATCCTGTTCGGTCATTGCCGGGTGATGCTGAAGGTTGGAAACTCATATCTCTTTCCGTCATAGCATCGGGTTTAGTGCGAGCTCTACAGACCACTGATGTTGTGACACGTGTCAACGAGCTTGAGACCTTCGTCACGGACTGACGCGGTACGCGCCGCGTCGAGGAGCTCTGGGAGAATGCGACACGGAAGGATCGAATTCGCGAGTTTAGGGTTACAGATGAGTAGCTGTTGCTGAATGCCATTCGATCTATCTTAGCAGGGGTCTCGGTGTACCTAGTATGATGAGATTGAGTACTAGGAAGAACTGAAGAGGAATTGCCACCGTTTAGTCACCGACCACTAGCAGTCACATCAGTACTGTGCCTGACCAGCCATAAATCACTGATTCTGGTTCTGGCAACCCCAAAGCGCCGCGTAAAAAGATCCCTGCGCCGCGTAAAAAGATCCCTGCAGCGCGTGGGCATGGTGCTTTCATCGCCTAGTTCCTGTTTGATTCGCTGCTCGCTGGATGATCAAATGAGAATCTGTACCCGATTTAGGTTACGGGAGTGGACTAGTCGGGAAAAGCAGTTTTGTAAAACTCTAAACCGCAGTTTGAACCCTGCACACATATGTGTACTACACACCAACAGAACCACACCACTTTACAGGATGCCAGATAGAACATTAACGCGTATGTAATTCCCGCCTACAATCTCTCCGTTCTTCAAATTGCCCCTACCGATCATCATCATCACACCCACTCTCAACAAAGCCACTTCGCATTCTCCAACCGAGCATTTGTTCATGGGAGGCAGCTGCAAACATGGCAAGCAATCTCTAGGATTCCCCATCCACGGCGTTCCCTAGGTCCTCGGTGTGACCATCATCCGAATCTGAACATGGCTTGTCACGCGCCTGGCGACGACGCCGCGCCTAACGCCAGACCGTCCGAGGCTGTCGCAAGGCCCGAATTTCATATCGTCGTAGGCTTTCGCGCCACTTCGCGACCTATCGCGAGGCGCGCTCTGCGCGATTGGAGTCGTCGAGGCGACTGGGGCTGATCGCGTGGACGAATCGTTCATGTCATGGCGGCCGTAGATTCGAGAAGAATGGATTGCTCGGTAGTCAAAATCGAGCAGGACGGGTGGCTTGTCGTTGCGCGCACCTCTTCTCGATTTCAGTCGTTTGAAATCTCTTTCGCAGTTTCAATTGTTATGGCATAAGTAGCATCAGTGCAAGCGGGGGAAGCAATTCGAGGGAGAATTCGTACCGTTCCGTACCTCCGCGTAACCTGTCTGCACGTAGCTATGGCATGCGAGCCAGCTTATAACGCGGATGGCTCTGGTTCGAATCCTGGTGAAGCCGCTCTCAGCCGTCGATCAGCACAATCAGATCGGTTGAATGAATCACAGCCGTCCATCGCAACCTCCGTGCGGGCTCCTGTCTGTCCCCATCACCGTGTGAGATCAATCCTCCTCCCTCTGCTCCTCTCCTCCCCTCTCTCCTCCCGCCGCTCGTCCCAGCTGCCGTCCACGTCAGCAACAGCATCAGCCACGTCAGATGCAGTATCTTCCACGTCAGCAACAACATCATCCACGTCAGCATCATCGTCAACAGCAGCAGCAACCTCTCCCAGCGATCCTTCTTGCTGGCTGTGCAGCAAGAGAGCGGGCGGCAGCAGAAGCAGGAGATCGTTTGCTACTTTGGCAAAGAAAGGCATTCACGACAGCAGGAGCCAGTCACGTGGTGTTTATTGTGAAAGTCCCCCGAGGGTAGACGAGCAAAACACCCCAGATGGGATTTGTGATAGGAGTCAGGGCAAAGGCAATGACAGACGCAAGGGTAAAGGCAAAGAATGTGATGGTGATGGTTGTGAGAAGCAGCGAGGTGGGATTATAAGGAGGGTGCGGTTGCTGGGTGTGTGTGGCCAGGGTGGTGGCAGGAGGAGGGCGAGGAGGGTTGTGCCTATAGCGGGTGGGAAGGGTCTGGATGAGTCTGCAGAAGGCGGTGATAATAACGGATGTGACCGTGAGGCTGTTTCTACTAGCAGCAGCAACATCAGCAGCACTACGACAAACAGTAACGTCGTTCGCAGTGCCAACACCAGGAGCACCAGTATTGCAGACGGTAACTCGGCTCCTGGTGGGAGGAGGAGGAGCAGCAGCAGGGCGAGGAGGGAAGGAGGCGAGAGCAGGAGGAGCAGAGGATTGAGTATTGGCAGCAGCAGGTATTACAGCATTGGCAGTGACGTGCATGGTGATGTCGTGGCTGCTGCTGACGTGGCAGAGACTAATGATGCGTCAGCAGAAAATGGTGATGACGAGGATGACAATGCACTGTTCTATGATGCGGATGCTGACGTGGATGACAGTGATCAGGATGGTAATGATGATGGTGCTGGCTGTGGTGATGGTGCTGATGATGGTGCTGATGCTGATGCTGATGTCAGCAATTACGATGGTGAAATTGACGGTCTTGTTGGGAGTGGCAGTGCAGCGGAGGGTGGGGATTGCAGCAGTGAAAGATCCAACAGCTTTCAATCAGGACATAACAGCATGCACCATTCTGCTGCTGCTGCTGCTGCTGCTGCTGCTGCTGCTGCTGCTGCTGCTGCTGCTGCTGCTGCTCCTGCTCCTGCTGCCACTGCTGCCGCTGCTGCCGACGCCACCAGCAGCGCCATACACTGGCCATGCCTGGCAGCTGCTGGGAACCTTCCTTCCATCGGGCTTGGGGAAGTTCACAAGTCTGGTGCCATCGACTCTGCTTCCATTCAACCTGTCATGTGCATTGAGTCAGCTTCAGCTGTGGCATGTAAAGGGGCGTGTGCGCGAGTGTGCCTGCCTGCTGTGGTGCCATGGCCGTTTCTCGGGGGGGAGGGGGATGTGGGGGTGCATTGGACAGAAGATGGTGTGAGTCACAGCAGGGGCCATGAAGCTAGTGGTCTTGATACCGTTTCCTATGATGCCATGCGGAATGATGAGCAGCAGCATGAGGGCAAGGACGGCTCGGGAGTTGATGCTGTGAGAGGTGATGCTATGGGTGTTGACGCCATGCAAGGTGGTGGCATACCACATAGACCCCACCACGGATACCACCACGGATCCCACCACATGCAGGGTGTATACCACCTGGCAAGGGTCCTGCCATGGATGATAATGATGATGCCATGGATGATAATGATGATGCCATGGATGGGTCAACAGGGCAAACCAACCATGGAGCGACGCTTACCGAACTCGAACCCGAACCTAAAGCTGAGTTTCACCATCAGCAGCAGGCTCAACCCGAACCACATGCCGAACCTGGAACCGAACCTGGACCCGGACCTAAGTCCGAACTTGGACTTGAACCTGGAGTGAAGTTCCTCGGCCAGGATTCTCCCGGTCCTGAGGCCGAGGCTGTCCCGGGCCTGTTTGCGAACCTGCCCGATGATGTTGGGTTGGACATCCTTTCCCGACTTCCATGGCTGAACCTTGCATCGGGCCGGTCTGTTTGCCGAGCCTGGGAGCGAGATCTGGCTGGGGAGGAGGTTCGGGAGCTGAGGAAGAGGAGCAAGAGGTTCGATGAGTGGGTGTTTATGGTTGTGCCTTGGAATGGGGACGATGGGGTTGGTGCTGGTGATGGGAGTGTGGAGGGAAGGGGGAGGAGTGGGGCGGAGGGGAGGAGGGGGAGTGGGGAAGGAAGGGGGAGGGCTATGGCGGAGAGGGAGACAGGTAGAGAGAGCAGAGGGCGAAGTGAGGAGAGGAGGGAAAGAAACAGCTTCGGCAGCAGCAACAGGAGGGAAAGAAGCAGCAGCGGAATAATCAGCAGAGTTAGTAGGTGGAGTGATAACAGTAGCAGCATGGCTACTGCTAGTCGAAGCAGGGTGGCAGGTGGCGGATCAGTGGGCGATAGGAATCCACGTGGCAGCTGCGTCAGAAGCAGCAGTGGTAGCACCAGTGGTCTAAGCAGGGGGGGAGAGGAGGGGAGAAGCAGAAGCAATTGGGGCGGTACAGGGAAAAGCAAGGGAAGAGGGGAGGAGTGTGGCGTAGGCAGGAGCAGAAGCAGAAGCGCTAACAGGGATGAGATAGGAGGGAGTGGAACGGGCAGCAGCAGCAGCAGCAGCAGCAGCAGCAGCAGCAGCAGGGGGGGGGGGTGAGGGGCGGATGGGGGAGCGAGGAGGGAAGGGAAAGGAAGCGGTTGAGAGCAGTGAGAGAGTGAGTGGTCTGATAAGAGAGGGTGGATGGGGATGGAGCAGGGAGGAAAAGGGTAAGGGCAAGGGCAAGGGCAAGGGATCAGTGTCAACAGATTCTCCACCTGTGTCAACAGGTAGGGGCCTGCAGTTTTCCCTCAACACGCGCTTTTCCCTCCCCACGCTCTCCATCTCCGACCTTGGAGTACCTCCCTCCTCCTCCCCTTCCACCTCCTCCCATCCATCTACCTCCTCCCATCCATCTACCTCCTCCCATCCATCTACCTCCTCCCATCCATCTACCTCCTCCCATCCATCTACCTCCTCCTCTCACTCCACCTCCTCCGCTCCCTCCGCGCCTCACCTTCCTCGAAATACCTCCTCCATCCCACGAGCCTCATCTGCTGTTTTCTCATCGGCATCAGCAGGTGCAGCAGCAGCATCAGCAGCAGGTGCAAGCAAAAGTTCAGCAGCAGCGAGATCAAGCATAAAGAAACCGCCCCTCTCCTCCAGCTCGCGCCGCACAAGCAGGAGTGGCCCGGCTGTTCGTTCTGCCACACCAGCAACGAGCACAGAGGCAGCTAGCACAGGCAGCACAAGGAGCCGTAACAACACAGGCTCAACTGGAGCGTATTCCAGGGCAACTCAGCCCACCACTCTCTCGCCGTCTTCATCCCTGCCAGATTGCTTATCCTCCTCTTCCTCCTCTACCTCCTCCTCCTCCTCCTCCTCCTCCCCCTCCTCTTCTTCCTCCTCCTCTCCTTCCTCTCCCTCTTGCCTTCGCTTGGTGGGCTTTCACCCTCCCTCCAACTCCCTCTATCCTCTTTCCCCCCTGCCTTCCCAACTCGCCAACCCTACTGAAACAAGCACGCTTTGGGACTGCCGCCTCCAAGCCTTAGGCTCGGAACTCCTCCTCTTTGCCGTCCGAGGTTCGGCAAAGGCTCGGCACCGGGTCTGGACCCGAGGCTCAGATGCAGCCCCAGACCGAGCCTCTATGGCCGCAGCAGCAGCGGCTGCTGTTGCTGCAATTGACGGTGCCGCTGCTGCTGGTGGTACTGCTAGTACTGCCGACCCTGGAGCTTCTTTTCCCGACCCTGAGCTTGCCGAACGTGAGGTCCAGGTCTGGAGGTACAGCCCGGTCCGGGATGCGTGGGTGCGTGCCGCGCCTATGTACCAGGGCCGGGTGGGGTTCGCGTTCGGAGTGATTAAAGGCAAGGTGATTGTAGCAGGAGGGCGGCTGTGGGAGAGAGGGAGAGCGTGCGAACCCCTCTCTTCTGTCGAAATGTACGATCTGAAGGCAGATGTGTGGGAGAGAGTTCCGGAAATGCCAATGGCGTGTTATGAGTGTAGTGGCGTGGTGCTGGCAGGGAGGCTGTTTCTGCTTGGGAGGAACCAGTTTAGGGTTTCGGTTGCCGATGCTGCTGGTGAGCCTCTGCTGCTGCGTGGTGGTGTTGGTGGTGGGCTTGACCTGGGTGGTACCAGAGCTGGTGCCGCTAATGCTGCTAATTTTGAGACTGCAGCTTTCACCCACAGGAACACCTCTCTTGCTGCAGCTGCTGTTGCTGCGGCTGCTCTGAACCCTCCTGCTGCTCCTCCTCCTCCTGCTGCTGCTGATGCTCGCGGCGTCTGGACCCCCAACAACACCATCCCAAACACAAGCACCACCACAGGCACCCCCGGCCCCTCCTCCGCCCGCTCGCCGTACCTAGTGTGCATGTACGACCCTGCCTCACACCAATGGGTCTCTCTTCCCCCGGGCGAGGGGCTTCACCCCGAGACGTGGCTGCTGGAGCATGCAGCAGCGCGGTGGGGCGTGGGGTGTGTGCCTCGCTTCCTGGTGTGGCGCCGGGAGGGCTGCTTACATGTCTATGACGCGGTTACCTAAGGGAGGAAGGTGTTACAGGTGAGCGGATGGCAAGAGGTCGCAAGGTGAGAGTTTTTCCGCAGCAATTTCATCACCTCTCTCTTTCCTGCTTGCCACTGCTTGTTCCATCGCGTTACCACTTCCCCTCCCCGCCCCTCACCATCGTTCTTTCACCTTTCTGACCCAATCAACTTATCTGGACTGTGTGCCCCTGTTTGCTGGGTGAGGTTGCCCCTGATTGCTGTGTGGTTGCCCCTGATTGCTGTGTGGTTGCCCCTGATTGCTGTGTGGTTGCCCCTGATTGCTGTGTGGTTGCCCCTGATTGCTGTGTGGTTGCCCCTGATTGCTGTGTGGTTGCCCCTGATTGCTGTGTGGTTGCCCCTGATTGCTGTGTGGTTGCCCCTGATTGCTGTGTGGTTGCCCCTGATTGCTGTGTGGTTGCCCCTGATTGCTGTGTGGTTGCTGTGTGGTTGCTGTGTGGTTGCTGTGTGATTGCTGTGTGGTTGCCCCTGATTGCTGTGTGGTTGCCCCTGATTGCTGTGTGGTTGCCCCTGATTGCTATGTGGTTGCCCCTGATTGCTCTGTGGTTGCCCCTGATTGCTGTGTGGTTGCCCCTGATTGCTGTGTGGTTGCCCCTGATTGCTGTGTGGTTGCCCCTGATTGCTCTGTGGTTGCCCCTGATTGCTGTGTGGTTGCCCCTGATTGCTGTGTGGTTGCCCCTGATTGCTGTGTGGTTGCCCCTGATTGCTGTGTGGTTGCCCCTGATTGCTGTGTGGTTGCCCCTGATTGCTGTGTGGTTGCCCCTGATTGCTGTGTGGTTGCCCCTGATTGCTGTGTGGTTGCTGTGTGGTTATGGGATGGCTGTTGCAGGTGCCTCCTACCTATGCCTCACACCCCACTCGTAACCACCTTGGGCTGGCAACCCTGCAGCAGCAACAGCAGCACCAGCAGCAGGGACAGCTGCAGCAGGGACAAGGCCAGAACCAGCAGCAGCGGAGGCACCAGCAGCATCAACAGCACCGACTGCAGCAGCAGCAGCAGCTGCACCAGCGTCCTCGCATCCCTCCTCTTCCTCCTGCTCCTGCTCTTGCTCCTGTTCCTGCTGCTCCTGCTGCTGCTCCTGCTCCGCTCTTCCCTCTCCACCCGCTGCTGCCTCGCATTCACTTTGAACACACCATTCTAAAAAATCGAATCTTCCTCTTTGGAGGGTACCTCCAAAACTCCGACGGTACCCTCCTTCCAGCTTCGGATGCACTATGCTGCGACCTTGCAGGTTCGGGCGGAGGCTCGGGCGGAGGCTCGGGAGGAGGTTCGGCAGGAGGTTCGGCGGGAGGCATGGATAGAGTTGCAGGAAGGCTTGGGGTGATGGCAGCAGGAGGGCCAACGTGGACTTCTGTTCCTCTGGTTTGGAAGGGAGGAGCGATCAAGGGGAGAGGAGAAGGGAGGCAGAGGGTTGGTAGGGAGAGTGAAGAGGAGCGTGGGATGAAGAACACAAAATTGGAGGGTGAATGGGATGGGGATGAGGGAGAGAAAGGGTGGAGGGGAGAACAAGATGGGATGGGAGGGGATGGAGAGTGGGAAGAGGAGGAAGGAGTGGAGAGGGTAGAATCAGGGACATGGGGTGACGAGGAAAATACAGGGGTTTCTGATATGGATGACATGGACGATCGAATTGGTTGTGCTGGCGTGGATGATGCAGATGCTGACGAGGGTGGTGGTGACGATGATGTGGATGGTGCAGACATGGAGGACGATGGGGAGATGATGCAGGAAGCGATTCTGGGAAGGGTCAAGACTGCGACTGTCCTGTCCCTGTAGTGTTGGTGCGTGCATGCATGCATGCATGCATCTGTGGCGTGTACATAGTTATGGAGCCAAACATAGTAAAAGCAGCATGTGTGCACGCTGTTAGGATATGCCGTTTGTTGGGCCGGACTTAGTGCAGTCAGAAATTGTGATACGCCGGTACGTTTTTTGCATATATGAAAATGCTCTGCAGTGTCTTTTAATATTTAATGCAACTAAATCCCTTCTCGCGTCTAGGGTTTTTTGGGTTGGTGTTACGAGTGCAATTTGAGTGAGCGAGCGAGGTTTGCACTATCGAGGCAAGAATACAATGAGCGAAGGATTGAGCGAAGAATATATAGCGAAGCTACAGTGGTAACGGTAACGTGTGGGAAAGTGGGGTGCGCGACGGGCCTGGTGCCGAGGTTGGGGAATGTCGAGGCGGAGGTCCGGAGCGCGGGTTACCAACCGAACCGTAAGGTTGGGTCGCATCGTGAACAGTGGCGGGAATGGGGTCGAGGCGAATGTCGCGAGTGGTATGGTAACGGATTATTGTGGGGTGCTGTTGGCGGGAACAGTGGTGTACGCGCTAAGCAGGGACGCGAAGTAAGGAAAAGGGATTTTCCTTACACTACCTCCCCCCTAAGGAGGCCTTTCTTACGAAAGCGCATGTACATCCCGGAAATTCCGGCTGCGCAGATACTCGGTGAGGACAGGGTGGTTTTCGATTCTGTCCAGGGGAACCCAATTGTCCTCGGTGGGCGTGCGGTCTCTCTAGCGGATCAGGAATTCGACCCTTTGAGCTCCTCGTGGGTCACGAACTCTGTGGCTCAGAATATTCTCGGACGTGATGACTGGTACTGTCGGTGGTCGTGTCATGCTGGCCGGGCGATTTCGGGCCAGTTGGCTGGTGGATGGGATGTAGGGGCGAAGCAGGCTGACGTGGAAGGATGGGCTGACGTACCAGTCAGCAGGGAGGAGGAGGTGGGCGGTGACAGGTGTGATCATGTGGCTGATGCGAAATGGCCGGCAATATCGGGGGCGGAGTTTTGGGGTGATGGGCAGGCGGAGGTTTTGAGTGTCGAGTAAAACTAAGTCGTCGAGCTGGTACGGTAAGTGACGGGTCTGCGTTGGCGGTCGGCGTTGCGCTTAGCGATGACGTTGGCCTTTTTGATTGCCTCAGCTGCCCTGGTTCGTGCTGCCTGTAATATTTCTGCGAATTGTTGCGCCCGTGGTACTGGGTTGTCGGGATTCGGGGTCATGGTTACTATAGGGTCTTGTCCGTAGTTCAGATAAAACGATGACTATTGGGTCGTGGCGGATGGCGAGTTGTTGTACGCGAATTCGATGAGTGGCAGTTGCTGTTCCCAGGTGGTTGGGTCTGTTGAATTATATTTGCATATCCTGTTATAACTGCCTACAGCTTGCTAGTGTATTAGTTACATATTAGGTTCAACTGCTGGTGGTGTACCCTTTTCCCCTTCCTCTCCTTCCTATTTGTACTCCCAACTTCATAATGAAAGCCTCTCTTTTGGCCAAACTTCTCCCTCCATGATTCTCCTTGCTAAACCTCTCCTAAACCTAAGTACTGCATAATCTCCTAATCTTAACATGATATCAGAGAGTGGTCCCTCCTAGGACCTCGTTTTTCATGGGCCCACCAAACCCGCGATCTGCCATGGCGACTTATTGTGCTGCTGGCATGGCTGTTACTGCTAGTAGCGCGAAATCCGCTGCTGGCTCGAAATCCGCTGCTTTTGCAGCACCCGTCGCGCTGCCCCCTTTCGCCTGCCCCGTCGCGCTCTGCCAGTGGCGAGCGTGCCAGCGAGGCGACGGCGGGCGCCAGCGCAAGCGCCAACGGCGGGCGCCAGCGCCAGCGCCAACGGCGGGCGCCAGCGCCAGCGCCAACGGCGGTCGCCAGCGCCAGCGCGGACGCCAGCGCCGACGGCGGGCGCCAGCGCCAGCGCCAAGGGCGGGCGCCAGCGCCAGCGCGACGCCAGCGCCCAGCGCCAGCACTTCCGCCAGCGCCAGCGCATGGGGGGGAGGGGGATGAGGGGGTGGCGGGAGAGCTTCTGCCGCGCCAGCCACCTCCTCTCCTCTCCTCTCCTCTCCTCTCCTCTCCTCTTCTCCTCCAGCCGCATCTCCTCCTCCTCTCTCCTCTCCTCTCCTCCAGCCGCATCTCCTCCTCCACTCTCCTCTCCTACAGCCGCATCTCCTCCTCCTCTCTCCTCTCCTCCAGCCGCCTCTCCTCTGCTCTCCTCCTGTGCACCACCACCAGCTTCCTCCTCCTCACCAACAGTTGTGTTTGCTCGTAGATGGCGAGCGACCGGCATCCTTCGCCCTCCGGCTATCCCAGCCCTCCTCCGCGCTCTCCGCGCCCTCCTCCGTCCTGGCATTCACAGGTGCTGCCGGTCAGCCACCGCTGTTTCTGTGCCTATCCCAGCTACAGCAACCGCTCTCCAGGCGACCTGGTGCCAGACACCACTAGCTATAGCCGTAGGCAATTACGGGGGTGTGTTGAATTATATTTGCATATCCTGTTATAACTGCCTACAGCTTGCTAGTGTATTAGTTAGATATTAGGTTCAACTGCTGGTGGTGTACCCTTTTCCCCTTCCTCTCCTTCCTATTTGTACTCCCAACTTCATAATGAAAGCCTCTCTTTTGGCCAAACTTCTCCCTCCATGATTCTCCTTGCTAAACCTCTCCTAAACCTAAGTACTGCATAATCTCCTAATCTTAACAGGGTCGTCGCACGTGGCTCGGATTAACTGTTCCATGGTCTGATTTGTCCGTTCTGTCTGTCCGTCGGTCTCGGGGTGGTACGAAGAACTGAACTGCAGTCTCGTGCCGAACTGCTGCCACAGATTCCGCCAGAAATTGCTGGTAAAATTCGTATCGCGGTCGCTGATGATTGCCGCTGGTATCCCGTGTAATCGAACGATGGTTGAGATGAAGAGGCGGGCCGTTTCTTCGGCTGTGATTGATTTTTTGCAGCCTGCGAAATGTGCCATTTTCGTCAGCCGATCGACGACGACCAGGATCGCGTCGTTCCCACTTGCTCCGGCCGGTAACCCCGTGACGAAGTCCATCGTCACCTGCTGCCAAGCACGCTCTGGGGGTGGTATCGGCTGCAACTGCCCTGCCGGTCGCTTCCATGATGATTTCATGAGTTGGCAGGTGGGACACGATGCCACGTGTCGCTGCACGTCGGTCAGCATTTCGGGCCAGTAATAATACCGCTGCAGCTCCTGCCGTGTTTTCTTTACTCTGAAATGGCCTGAGGTGACTCCGTCGTGTGCCTCTTGTAACAGCAATTCCCGTAGAAGTGTGTAGTCTGGTACCTAGATTCGATCGGTGCCGGCTTTTACGTAATAGACTGCTCTTGCCGCTGCAAACTACTGCGAATTTCCGCCCGTGAAAAATGGGTCCGTTTGATAACTGTGGGTAATTAGGCCCGTCAGGAGTGGGCTGGTCTGGGCGAGTAGTATGGCGTGGAGTTGGGCTGTGGGCCGGGTTAACTCGTCGACGATGTTCGATGCCCCCTTTTTGTAGGTGACCTTGTATTGAAAATTTGGCTCGAGGTAGTCGAGCCTGCGAATTTGTCGTGGGTTGAGGTGGGGTTGTGCGCGGAGGTACTGTAGTGATTTATGGTCTGTCCGTACTGTCACGTCGGCGCCAGTCAAGTAACAGCGCCACACTTTGAATGCATGCACGATCGCAAGCATTTCGCGATCGTGTATCGGGTAATTCTTCTCGGGCGAATGCAGTTTTCGTGACTCGTATGCGATGGGCTGTAAACCGTTGCCGAAATCTTGTAGCAGTACGGCTCCAATGGCGATGTCGCTTGCGTCGGTAACCACTTCGAATGGGCGGTGTGGGTCGGCAATGCGCAGTACGGGCGGTGAACAGAGGACGTTTTTCAGGGTAGAGAAGGCAGCATGCTCTTTCTCCCCCCTGTCAGAACATTATATAGCTTATGCTGTTGTGTAGGCTATAGTGGGGTATCCCATAGGGGGTACAACCCAATTAGGGTTTCCTATATGTACTCACTTCATTCATAGTTCATTCATTCGCGTTCTCCTTCCCACATGGAATCAGAGCAGGTCCCCTCCTAGGGACTGTTTCTAGGGCCCACCGAAGCGCGCCCCGAGGCGCGCTTTCCTTTTTTTTTTAGCGACCCTCCGTGTCGCCCCTAGCGGCCCGTTGCGCCGCCCTTACCTACGCGAGCCCGCCGCCCTTACGTCGCGGCCCAGCCGCCCTCACGTCGCGGCCCCGCCGCCCTCACCTACGCGGCCCCGCCGCCCTTAAGTCGCGGCCCCGCCGCCCTCACGTCGCGGCCCCGCCGCCCTCACCTACGCGGCCCCGCCGCCCATAAGTCGCGGCCCCCGCCGCCCTCGACGTCGCGGCCCCGCCGCCCTCACGTCGCGGCCCCACCGCCCTTGCCTACGCGGCCCCGCCGCCCTCACCTACGCGGCCCCGCCGCCCTCACGTCGCGGCCCCGCCGCCCTCACGTCGCGGCCTCGCCGCCCTTGCCTACGCGGCCCTGCCGCCCTCACCTTCGCGGCCCCGCCGCCCTCACGTCGCGGCCCCGCCGCCCTCACTTTGCGGCCCCGCCGCCCTCACCTACGCGGCCCCGCCGCCCCACTTCGCGGCCCCGCCGCCTACGGTACCGGCCCCGCCGCCTATCCTCACCGGCCCCGCCGCCTACGACCGCCGAGCCGCCCTGCCGCCGAGCCGCCCAGCAGCCGAGCCGCCCGGGAGCCGAGCCGCCCTGCCGCCGAGCCGCCCTGCCGCCGAGCCGCCCGGGAGCCGAGCCGCCGAGCCGCCCGGGAGCCGAGCCGCCGAGCCGCCCTGCCGCCGAGCCGCCCTGCCGCCGAGCCGCCCTGCCGCCGAGCCGCCCGGGAGCCGAGCCGCCCAGCAGCCGAGCCGCTGAGCCGCCCAGCCGCCGGGCCGCCCTACTGCCGAGCCGCCCGACCTGCCCTGCCTGGTGAGCACAGCACCACTGTTACTGCGTGCCCTTCCCCTACTGC